GTGTGTCCTGCTCTACTGATCCTCTCTCTCTCTCACCTTGGAACAATTCCTCTTTGGAAGATGAAGCCCAGGATGTTCATCGCTTTATGGTGGAAAGCTCTTCCTGAAGCTGTAAGTCCATGTTCCTAGTCACTAGGTGCCACAAAGGGGCCACATGGCCTTCTAAGTTGAGGAAACAGATCACAGCATTTGTACCTTGAGGAATCTCAATTCATTGTATCTAGCATTGCTGAGACTAATTTACACAATGACAGGAGGCTGACAGAGGCTGACAGAGGACACTTGGGTACTTTATCTCCCAAGTTAAATATGCATCTGGAGCTCACCTGTGTGCTAAAGGCCTCCATTCCTCTCTCCAGGCTGAGACAGACCAGGTGAGGAATCTCTCTGGAACTCCTTTCCCTGATAATTTCCTTCTTCCCTCTTCCTAGATCTTGACAAGGGGGGAGGAGGGGGAGATGTATTAAGGCAAAATAAAGATCAGGCCAAATTCTTTGACATGCCTTCCATTAAGAGGCGAGATGTCTATCCCATCCCCTTGATTCTAGGTGGGCTCTGTGACTGCTCTGACCAACAGAATACAGTGGAAATAATGCTGAGCCCATTTGTGGGCCAAGTCCTTAAGCAACTGATAGCATCCAGCTCATAGAAGAAGTCCCAACTACTCTCATGGAGAAATCATATGGTGATACCCTGAGACCACAGGGAGAGGGACCCAGCTGAGTCAGCCAAGGGACCCAAACGTGTTAGTAAATCTGTCTTGAACCCTCCAGGTCATCCCAGAGACCAGCTGAATGTCACCAATGATGCCAATCAAAGCACAGGGAAAAGAAGTACCTGAATTCCTGATCCACAAAATTATGAGATATAATAATATAGTAGCTGTTTTGCAGTGGTGGTTTACACAGCAGAAGAGAACATGTATAGGCATGTAGGTGCCTGAGATGGACCACTTCAGTTTTTAAAGCTCCTGGACTTTTGGCATGCACTCACAGATGGAAAGCTGTTCTATCTAGCCCAATTCAACGCATTCAAGCATAGGGAAAAACATGCTGCTTTCCCCAAATAGCTCTTAATTTGTGACTTGATACCATTTCTGCAAGACAAACACTGGTGTGCTGTCCTGTGGAGCAAGTCTTCTCAACTGATTACACACTGTTAACAAAGTATTAATCTTTTAGTATATTAGCATCTCATAATTCATGGGCCACTTGGAACCCAGGTGTAAGCCAAACACACTGAGCCTACGCTTTGTTTTTCCCTTTAATTTTCAACAGTCAGAAGGTAAATCTCTTCACTTCGGAAGAAAACCCTGCTCCCAGGTAGATAAGGAAACACATTCTTTGTTGTAAGGCCTAAGAATTATGGTGAAAGACATAAAGGTAGGCACTTTTAGTTAATGGCTTCCAAATATAATTTCATTCTTCTATTTAATTATATGTATCTCAAAGTATACTCTAAATGACTGTGAGAAAGAAGACAGCATATTCTGGAAACATAATGCACTTTTTTGAGTATCCACAGTTTGTCAAACCATAATATACTTTCATGGAAATGAAATCAATAAGAAAAACAACCCAAGAGAGAGAAATAAGGGTGACTTGACAAGTAGTCAGTTTGGTTTTATGCACAAACTACACTTGGTCAAAGTATTTTTTGAAGTGAAGTAATTTACTATGGATGTGCTTATTTTCTATAGTAAAGTTTTTGTTGTTGGTTTGTTTGGTTTATTGTTCAATTGACACAAAAACAAAAGCTGAAGAGAAAACTTCCTTCAAGAGAATCCCATCCCAGAATTCTAAACAAAGATGTGCTAATCCTTGACCTTCCACATGCAGGTTAATATCTCTAGAAGCTTAAAGAAGAGACATTTATGAACCTTTTATTTCAGACTTACCCTGACAATCACAGAACACAGAACTCTTTGCTGGCATGGAGAGATCAGTCTCTTAATCTGTAAATTGAGATTGATAATATCCAACCCATAGGTTTTGTTTTGGGAATTATATTTTGGAAGAAGAGGAATTAGCCAAAACACAAGGAAGGGTGGGGAAGAATAACCAAAAGGCAATGTCATATAGAAGTTAAGGGAGAGGATAACAATCTTTTATCTGGGTGGTGGGATTTGGGTTGCTTTTTGTATTCTTTGTAATTTTATATGGCTTAATTTTTTTTTTTGTCATTAACATGTGTCATATATTTTAAAAAATAACAAGCCAACTAGAAAATCAGGAAAAGAAAATATTTCAAGGAAGTGTAGTCAAGAGGTTTTAGAGAGGCTCAGAGATCCAAGAAGACAATGGCTTTTCAAAATACAAGTACCCCCTCATCCATCCTAAACTTTTTGATGGTACCTTGCTAGGTGGAGGGGAATCCTACCAGGAGCCAAATCAAAGAATGACTGGAAATACTGGTTTGTAAAAATCCCTGTTTAATGATTAATTGCTGTACCTTATACCCATGGGGCTTCCCAATTTCTCCCATTTTATGTCCCATATCTCTGTATGGGGGAAGCTTGGCCATTGTTGTAATATTCTGGATTCAAAACAACCAAAGTAGTTTAGGATATGATGCTGATTCCTTTACAGGTAGCTGTAAAGTTTTCAAGATTTTCAAGACAAATTGGATAAAATCTACAAATAAAAACTTTATGGTCTGTGAATGCTATTCACATAACTAGTTAAACTAGTTAAAGCTCTTTTTATTATAACAGAACACAAACATGACCTAAGTGTATTAAATGCAGCCTATCTTCATCTTATTTCAATTTTATGAAATGTTTAGTATTTTCCTATTAAATAATAAGCTTTCCAAAAATTTAGGATGAACTATTTTGCATGGCCTGCTTTAAAATGTACAAGAAGTTCTGGGGTGCCTGTGTGGTTCAGTCAGTTAAGCATCCTCTCTTGATTCCAGCTCATGACCTCATAGTTCCTCAAATGGAGCTCCACCTCAGGCTCTGCACTGATAGCGTGGAGCCTGTTTGGGATTCTCTCCCTCTCTCGGGCTGTCTCTCTCTCTCTCAAAATAAATAAATAAATTAATTAATTAATTAATAAACAAACTTTTAAAGAATAAAAAAATAATAGGCTAAAAACATGAAGAAGCTAATAAAGAGGGTATTGGTGAAAAAATTAAAAAATGAATAAATAAAAAGTGCAAGAAGTTTTACGAAATTCTTTAGGCTATACTGGCTTAACAGAAGACATCCAACAGGTTTTGGAGGTTAAAGCCCTGGGTCTCAATGCCGTATTTGCCACACCATGGGTGTGTAACTTAGCGTGCAAGTTACTTCAACAGCATTCTCTTCAAGTACAGACTGAATTTTCTTTAAGCAGCAGGCATTGTACTAACCACTGAGAATACAAAGAGAACAGGGTACAAATGGTTCTCCCTCAGAATTTCTCTGGGCCTCCCCTATGTAAAATACTTACCTGATATGACTGTTACAAGGACAGGAGTGTACTGTATAGGGTTCTGACACAAAGTTGTATAACAAGCTATATTACTATCATTGTGACTCTAAGGGCAAAGGGTAAGAGGTCGTACCCTGCGTAAAGACCATCGACCCCCACGATGGGGAAAGCCAGAGGAAAGCAGGTGTGGCCTTCTGCCCCGGGATCCTCACCTCCTCTCAGACCACTTTTCACTGGAGCCATCGCTGTGGTGAGCACCCAGCGCTGGAGGAGCGGGACCAAGCCGGCGGCCCACGCCGGTTTCCCATCTGCCCTCTGGGCTCTACACCCGCGCATGCGCAGCCTGCGAAGGTCCAGGTCAGGCTGTTAGCCCTGAGGGGCGATTCCTGAGCCCCAGGGAGATGGGTTAGAGCTTAAACGCCCGGAGTTCTACGGCTCTGTCGGTAAGACCTCTCAGACGGAGAGAACCCACAGGCCCACAGTGGGCGCAAACTCAGCGAAGCACATTTGTATGGACTTTCCCGCCTTCTCTGTTTGACTGTCTCCGGTCTCTGTCCTGACATCCGCCATCACTTCCCTAATGAATGACAGGCATGCAACCCCTTGTCTCAGGCTTTGCCTTAGAGGGAAAACCAGGGTAAAATACTATCTATAGAAGGAAAATATTAACAGAATTTTGTTATTGGAGGAATGTGTGAAAATTACTATACAGTGGGGTGCCTCAGTGGCTCATTCGGTTAAGCGTCGGACTCTTGATGTTAGCACAGGTCCTGATTTCACTGTTCCCGCGAGTTGCAGCCGGCCTCCGGCTGTGGGGAAATGGCACCCAGCCAACTTGGGATTCTCTCTCCTCTCTGCCCTTCCCCTGCTTCAGTGCTCGCTCTCTCTCTCTCTTAAAATAAATAAACTGGAAAAAAAAAAAAAAAGACAAGGGGCGCCTGGGTGGCTCAGTCGGTGAAGCGGCCGACTTTCGCTCAGGTTATGATCTCAAGGTTTGTGAGTTTGAGCCCCTCCAACCCCCTCTTAGCCCCCTCTGTCAGTAGGGAAGGTTTGGGGGCGTTCGGAGGGCTCCGTGCTGATGACTCAGAGCCTGGAGGCTGCTTTGGATTCTGTGTCTCCCTCTTTCTCTGACACTCCCCTGCTCACGCTCTCTCTCTCTCTTTCTTTCAAAAATAACCATTAAAAAAATGACTATACAATGAAATAATACATGGCCATTGAAAAGAGCGAGGTAAACCAATCCAGTTAATGTTAGAAACTTCTAAAACATAGTGTTAAGAAAAGGAAGATGCAGATCAGTTTATGTAATATCTTATTTTGTAAAAAAAAAAAAAACAAAAAAAACTCAAAAATTTCTATATCTGTATGTAAATATACTTATTTATAAATGTATAAAAATGTAAACATTTATTTTTATTGTATTATATTAATATATTATGAATATATATATATAAACTTTTAAAAGGATATGTGCTAGTTTGTCAAATGTGTTTGGGGGTTGGGAGTAGAGGAGAGGAGGCTAGTTAAACAAAAAGAGGTCTTTATTTAAAAACCCTATATGTGACATATTATTCCATTCAGGTAAAAATCATACAAATATGAGTATGTGCTTATGACAGATGAAAGAGGGATAGTCACCAGTATGCTAATGATCATCATCTCTGGAATGTGGGATTTCAGGTAGGCTTTTACTTTCTTCTTCACACTTTTCTTGTTTTAAATTTTTCAATAATTGTAGATTTAAAACCAAATATAAAGAGGCAGTGTGGCATAGTGGTGAAGAGTACAGCATCTGGAGCCTGATAACTACATTCAAATCTTAGTTCTGTCACTTAGGGTTGTGTGATCTTGGACAGGTTATTTCATTTCTTTGGGCTTCAGTTTCCCCAACTGTAAAATGAAGATAATATAGTACCTACTTCATTAGGCTGTTAAAAAAATTAAAAGGGAAATAGAGGTAAAGCTTTCAGAATGGTGCCTGGAACATAGTAAATGCTACATACAGGTTAGCTAGTACTATTTCTTTATATTCATTGAAAAGAAAAATAGCTGATGGACTTAGATGCACCTCTGGTTACGCAGTGAGAAAAGATAGCCTTCACTGTCATCATGGCCTGGGTAGCCATTTACACACAGCCACTCTGCTCCTGTAGGTCAGCAGCTTCTGCTTCCAGAAAGAAGGGAAAACAAAAGGGAGAGGAAGAAAGAAAAGAGAGAGAGACAAAAGGGAGGAGAGAAAAGAAGGAGAAAGAAAAAGAAGGAGGAGGACAGGGACAAGGAGCGGAAGAAAAGGAAAGAAACAGAATAGTTCCAAATGTTCCACTTGGATGCTGGTGGGACAAGGCAAACGTCCCCCTCCTCCCAGGTTTCTGGACTGGCTCTGAAGGATTCTCTTCCCAGGTTCCTGGTAATCCCAGTTCTTCAAGAAGTGTGCAAATTCATGTTGGTGGCCTATTTTCTTAATTGAGATGTAACTGTTAGTATTGCCCATATTGCTGACATTCTTGTCATATTCCTAGATATTAGATAAAAAAGTTTTAATCAGTTATAAATGAGAATGTACATACAATAATTCTAAAACTGTGTCTTCATCAAAGTTTGCTTGCAACTATGATACATGTGGCTTTAGTGCCAATTCTTATTAAGTGTGCAATGCAATGTGCTGACACCCATGACACATTTCCCCTTATTCAGTCACAAAAATACTTCTAATTAGCCATAAATGAGAATGTACACACAACATTTCCAATAGCTACTCTGCTCCTATCAAAGTTCACATCAGAGAAAATTTAAACTGTTGCCACTGAGCTGCCTTGCCCCAATTCCAACAACTCTTATTTCAAAAATGCTTAGAAAATTAAATCTTTAGATCTCGCTGGGTAAACAGATCTGAGGTAGATTTATTTCAACCCAAGTCCTTTATTTGAGATATGTGTGCTCCTGAACCCAACTAAAATGCATACCATAGCCATTTCAAAGGCAGTGATAAAATTACTTGGTTAAATATTTTGGCTAGATTTCCTGTTTCCAGAGACCTGGGCTTTGTATTCTGTGGCTTCTGCATTGCCATGTGGTGATGTGGGCGGTATTAAATGGCACCACATCTGCCAACCTCCATAAGTACTATGCCCCACAGGGAAAGCCCCAGGCACCCATTACCACTGCGAGCCACAAGGACAAGACAACGCCAAATTTCAATAACCACCTTTAAATTCTCAGACCTTTGGCTTTCTTCAGGAATCCAGGCTGTAAGCTTCTTAGGATGACTACAGACCACAAAGTACCGCCTCATTTCAGTGTGGAGTCTATAAAATCACTTTAGTTATAATTCAGATATTCTCCAAACTTGAGGCTGCGAAGCATTCCGATCTGCTCTTAGATTTCTGTATAATCTCTCCTTCATTTTATAACATTCTTTGTCTTCTGTTGCTCTGTGCAAATACCAGTGCTTTACAAGTCATCAGGCCATGATTTGTGCATGGCCTGATACGTGGAGGTGAAAGGGGAGCTTTATGTGAGGCAGGGAAACGGTTCTGTTAAACTTTGCTTGCTTTCACTACCTTTAAAACTCATTAAATACGATTCTGCCTTTTACTTTGCCAAAGTGTTTAAAACCCATTTTAATGAAAAATTCTAATCCTATATAATCACACCATAAGCACTTTCTTTCTGTTCAAAGAGGAAACAGTGTTAAATTTTAATGCATACCTCTGGCAGGCTATATTAAAAGTGTTTAGTCAGTTTTAAATCCGATTAGTGTAACTGTTACAGATTAGAGAAAAATCCCAAGTGATTGGAGCAAGTCCCCAGCTCAAGGGAACTAATTTAGGGTCCAGGCCTCATCACGCCAGAATTAAAAGGAACCTCAAGACCCTTGCATTCAGTTTGTCCAAATTTTGTTCATAAGCTAATAAAATAAGGTCCTGTGCTAGGTATTGCAGCAATATAAAGACAAGTTTTCAAGTAGGAAGCAGATGAGACATAAAGCAACGCTAGACAAAGTGGAATGAGGGCAAGAGCAGAAGTGAGAAGCCCATAAGAGAATTCAGAAAGGACAAAAATCACATTCCAGAGAGAGAAACACTGACACTTCTTAGAGGATGTAACTTCTAAAAGAGGCTTTCAAGGAGAGACAGATTCCATAGATGGGGAGACACCGCTAAGATTGGAAAAGGTAGAAAGTTTCCCAAAAAATAGAAAAAGTCTGTTGACAACTTGAAGGGAAGGGGGATGCCTCTTTGTTGAGCAAAGTGTTGAGCAGACACTATACGAGTCATCTACATCTATTTTCTCATTTACCCCGCCCCCACGACATTCCAAGGAGATGGTTATTATTATCCCTATTTTATTAAAAAAAATTTTTTTTTTCAACGTTTATTTATTTTTGGGACAGAGAGAGACAGAGCATGAACGGGGGAGGGGCAGAGAGAGAGGGAGACACAGAATCGGAAACAGGCTCCAGGCTCCGAGCCATCAGCCCAGAGCCTGACGCGGGGCTCGAACTCACAGACCGGGAGATCGTGACCTGGCTGAAGTCGGACGCTTAACCGACTGCGCCACCCAGGCGCCCCTATTATCCCTATTTTATAGATGAGAAAAATGAGCCTCAGAGAGATTGTCTAAGGTTAAACTTGCCTAAGGTTAAATAGCTAGCATGTAGTAGCACTCAGGAGAAAAATATGTTTGAGCTTTTCTCAGTATTTAGTCTCAGGAACTCCCTGCATCACACCTTCCTCTTAGCCATTATTAAGGCCCAATTTGTTGTAAAAGACTTTCCTGACCACATGAGTTAGAAATGAGATTTCCAGTCCCTGAATTCACAGCACTCTTATTGTCTGTTACTCAAGTGGCATTTACTCTATCCTGGCTTCTATTTTTTTTTCTTTCCTCATGCAAATGTTGACCTCAGTGCTTCTTAATTGGTTGGGTCAGTTGAGCAGGAATACCAAAAACATCTGAGAAAATATGCATATATATATTTAAATATTTATATTTTTGAGACTGCCCTCCCACCCACATCACTTTGCCTTCCTCAGTAGTCTGTTCTAGAGGAGAGGGTAGTTATCCAGACCCTAAGAATGCATGCCAGCACTTGTGAAGGCACCAGCCATAAGCGTCTTTTAATATTCCCTTAGTGGTCCTAATTCCCACCCCATCCCAGGTAAGAATAATTAATTAAGCTTGCTGGACTGAAAATCAGGTGATTTGACTCCAGGCACCTGGGTGGCTCAGTCAATTGAGCAATTCTTTGTGTGTGTGTGTGTGTGTGTGTGTGTGTGTGTGTGTGTGTGTGT